ACGCGAAATTGGTCCGCGCAAAAATGAAGTGAAAAGTAGTGAATTTAGAAATATTTAAGAAAAGTTACATGAACGAAAAATGAAGTATGAAGAAGCACGAAGACGTATATTTATGGAAGTCTTAGATGAGAAGCAAATAAACAGAAAGTACAAGATCCAAAAGATGCGCGAAAAGCAACGAAATCTCAAACGGGTACAAGAGAAAATAGTGGAAACAACCATTACAATGGAAATCAAGTGTTGGCTTTACTAGACTCTGGGACATCTGCAGGTTTGTTGATGCTATGCAAATGTTAGAAGGAAGAGAAGGGGAGATTTGCGTATTTCCGGTCAAAGCATACGCACAGCGAACGGTGGAAAAAGTAGAAGGAGTAATAACGCTCCCTATAACATGGGACGTGCAAGTTAAGAATTTAGAGTTTTTGATAGTTCCGGCATTGACACAGGAGGTTTATCTAGGGGTAGATTTTTGGCACGCTTTTAACATGGATGTGGTTAATAGGGGTTTGAATAATCGCAATCGATCGGTGTCAGAGCTCGCATCCACCGAAGGTGACCTCACGTTGCAGCATATTTTGACTCGAAAGCAAGATCGGGTACTGGAAAAGACTAAAGCATTGTTCCCCTCTTTCTCAGTGCTAGGGTTAAGTCGTACAGGCATTGAAGAACATATAATTGAAGTAATCAATGAAAATGTGCCCTTGAAACAGAGGCACTATCCGATTTCACCAGNTAGGGAGCGAACTGGTTTAACTGTCCCGGTTAGACCCTTGTACCAGTTCACGGTAGTGCCATTCGGGCTCAGAAACGCCGCACAACGCATGTGTAGTCTAATGGACAAAGTCATACCGGCCGCTCTTCGTGATTGTGTATTTGTATACCTAGATGACCTGTTAGTTTGTTCCATAGATTTTGAATCGCATGTCTTTATTGGAGAAGGTCGCTCGGTGCTTACGCGACGCCAAGCTAACCATAAACGCCGAAAAGAGCAAATTCTGCTACAGAGAGGTACGCTACTTGGGATACGTGGTAGGTGACGGCTGTATCCGCACAGACACCAGCAAGGTAGCAGCTATGAAGGAGTTTCCCCAACCGAAACCCCCAGAGCAATTCAGGCGATTTTTGGGCATGACCGGATGGTACCGGAGGTTCATCTACAATTACGCGACGATTGCAGCGCCACTACACGACTGCTTGGCCAAGGGAAAAATAAAGAAGTTCAATATGACGGAAGAGGCAGTTACAGCGTTTGAA